ACAGGCACGTGCATAGATGGACCAGCGGACTAGAACAGAAAGTTTAGAATTAGCTTCAAATAAATAAAATATTGATGAAAGTAGCATTTCAAGTCAGTGGGGGAAAGATGGACTGTTAATAAATCATATTGAGAGATCTGGCTTGCAGTCTGTATCCATACTTTGCCCCACACTCTAGGAGAACTTTGAAATGGATCTAATATTTAATGAGACATAATGCGACTAACCAAGTACTGGAACCAAATTTGGGACAGTTCTTTTATGACCTTCGATTAAGGAAACCATAGCACAAAAGATGAACAAAATTAAAAAAAAAAAAACTTCTGCTTTTCAGAAGATACCATAAGCAAAGTCTGAAACCAAGAGAGAAGTATTTGCTACTTCTGTCATAGACAGAATCGATCTCCTTTATCTATAAAAGAGTGACTAACAACCCTGTAAAAAAAAAGCTGATCAAAAATATGGAAAGATATTGCAGAGAAAAGAAAATACATAAGACAGCTCAATATTTGAAATGATACTTTATTCATGATAAGAGAAGTGCAAACTAAACTTTGAAAAATTAAAAATTGAAACCCCAGTGAGCTACCATTTTTCACCCACCACATTGGCAAAAATTTGAAAGTTTAGTAACACAACACACTCCATTGGCACGAATGTGCGGAAACAGGCTCTCTCAAACATTGTTGGTGGAAGTGTAAATTGTGATAACTCCTCTGGAGGGCAATTTGGCAGCATTTATCAAAATCACAAAAGCATATGCCCATTGACATTTGAAGCAATTCCACTTGGCATCATGAGATTCTCCTGGCATCTTGAGAAATGGAAAGTGTTTCACGAGATTATTCATTGCAACCTTGTTTATACTAGCAAACGATTGGAAATAACCTAAATGCTCATCAATAGAGGATCTCTGTCCTTACTGTGAAATACCACGTGGCTATTAACAAAGGAGAGGAGGGAGGTGAAGGAGGGAAGGGGGTGGAGGAGGGCAGAAAGAGGCATCAGGACCCTCTGCTCTTGTGTACTCACATGGAGCGGTCCCCATGCCCTGTCATCGGGAAGAAGTCAGGTGCTGATGTGTTATGCCAACAAGTTTATGTGAAAGAAGGGGGAGATAAGAAGATACAGTCTATTTGCAGATTGAAAAATTTGTTCTTAATTCTCCCAGAAGATTGACAGGAAATTCGGGATCCTGCGTCCCTGGCGGAGTGAGGGAGCTCTGGGCAGGGGGCAGAGGGCAGAGGGCGACTTCACTGCCCTGTCCACCGTTAGACTTTTTTGATGTTTGAGAAGTGTGGAGGTAACCTTTCTTCAACAACTTCAGTGGTGCGTTTTTTTAAATAACCAAAATAACACATCAAAAGAGGAAAAAATATTCAGTAGAATTTTTTAATCTTCTTTTTCCTTAAGTTACATAACGCAGAGTTGACCCTGTTTGAAATGCTGCCTGAGGACTTTCTTACTTTTCCTGCACGGCCTGTGCTTCCTTCCTCCCGCTCCAGGTCACCAGTCCAAGTCCTGCTTGTACGCTCTGTTTAGGGGAAGAATACCGTTTTGGGGCTGACAGTCACTCAGAGTTTCTTAGCTGAAGGAATCCAGTCTGTTTCCTGTTCACTGGATCTTGTGACTTTGCTGCGTCGTCAACTGTCTGTTTCGTGACAGCCTCAGGTGTAGGGGCTCCAGTTTGCCCCTCTTTTGTGGGTGTGAGGCTTTAAACAATATTGTTATAGTATGTTACAGCTTTTAGTTTTTAGGCTTGGATTGGAATAGTTTGATCTTTATAGTTGTGAAAGGTTCCTTTTTGTCCCAGTATTTTAAAAAATTTTATGTTGCATGGCATTAGATGCAGAAGAGTAGACTATGATAGCACACAAATATGCCATTAACTACGAAATATATGAAATACGTCTTTTCTATTGCAGACAGACATCGACTATTTTTCCTTCCTGTTTGCATGTATTTAATGTTTTATATGTGTGTATAAAACATAGAATTATATACAGACAGATGTATTATTTATGTAAAGTTTATATATTATTATATATATAATATATAATATATATATTTATATAGTGTATATATATCATAAATGAAAAACAAATAGGTATTAAGTATAAGTATGGAATGGTCCTTAACCTACAGCACCAAGTTCAGCAGCACTTCTCTCTTGTCTCAGTCTGCTGTCTCAGTCTGCATTTGTAAGTGAAAAGAAGCCTCTCGCCTCTTACCCCGCCCTTCCCGACTGGGCTTGCTTCAGTAATAGTTAACAATCTCCCGATTGTTAGATTCCACATGCTGCTGACCTACTAAGAGATGCTGGTTTATTTTTATCCAAGATACACCCTTCTCAAAAAAAAATACTCTGTTTTCAAAGTCATCTCTTTCTTCCTTCGCTGAAGACCAGGGCTCGTTGCTTACACTGCCCGCCAGTGAAGTGCGCATCGTGCCTGAAATGTGTGTGTTTCCATCACTTTAATTTCCTCCCTTGATGGGCGGCGATCGTCCTTGATGACTCCTAGTGCCTAGCTCTTTGCATGAGGAAGGAACACTGGAGGCACCAAAGGAACAACAGTCCTAGAACAGTGCTCGCTCCGTGCAGTAGTAGGTTTTGTTTTCACTCCCCGATGTCAGTAAACGGGTGAATTTCGGGGTGTCAGTGATGCCCTGGAAAAGAAATGGGAGATCTGCAGAATTAGGGAGCAAGTTGCAACAGTCCACGCAGCTAGTTGGGGAATTAAAAAATGGTCCTCTTTCAGTTATCACAGACGTGGACGTTGGTCTTCGTTTGCCTTCAGATGTTTTCCTTGTTGCTTCTGTCAGCCTGAGGCAGGGCTGTTACTTGTTCCGAGGATACTGAGACATTTCAGAGACTCTGAAACCCCGCCCTTTCCTTGGAAGGTGCTAGTATCTTTGGTATGTAAATACCATGAGGAAGGAGGGCTGTGGTGGCCTGAGACACCTGCCCCTGAACACAAAAACCTCCATTCAGGGTCTGTCTTAACCACCCCCAGCCCTGTACCTTCGACAGCGCACCTCCCGGTTGGCCCCTCACAGCCTCCACCACGGGGGGTCCTGGGATGGCCTCGAAGTGCCCGGCCGGGGGCAGGCACACGGATCACCAGGTTCTTACCCATTTTTACCCCATGACAGTGCTTATTAATTAACAATAGGGAATTTATGTGAAAAGCAAGTTTGGTAATTCAGCAAACAACAGAGATAAGCTGTGTGTGCATGTGTTCGCCAACTGTCTTACATTCACTTAGTCTTGAGTGCTAGGGGGAACTTGGCACAGAAACTGGCAGAGCCCTCGCCGAGGGCAAGCTGGAAACAGCTGAGAAATCTCTGTTCTAGTTCTGCCCCCTCTCCCCCTCCTCCTCCCCCTCCTCTTCCTCTGCTGTTATTTAAAACTTTTTAATGTAAATATTAATATGTAAATCATTAAGATATATTTGGAAAAAGAGGGAAGTGGGCATCGCCGTGTCACTGCGTTGACATTCCATGTGTGTGTCCATGTTCCTGGGTGGAGACGGATCCGTGTAACTTCATCTTCCTGCCCGTGGAGAGCTGGCCTTGTCCACGTGGTGTCGGACCTGGCCTGGGCGTGGGTCCCATCGTGGGACCGTCCCCGTGGGGCAGGACGCCCCTCCACGAGGACGGAACTTGCCAGTCAGCTGCACCCATGTGCAGAAGGCCTGGTGCCGCTGTCCTGAGCCCCGCTGGCTTAGATGACACTTGCTCACTGTCCTCCTGTCCCGAGCGGCCAGCTAGCATGTCTGCTGAGTCTCAGAGTTTCTAGGATGTTTGTGCTGTGACGTGTGAGCGATGCAGTGGCTACTGTACCACCGGGGCTGACAGCGCACCCCGGGGTGCGTCCCCTGTGCAGGCAGGTATGACACACAGACGCAGCCCCGCCTGGAGGTGCTGGGGCAGCCCACAGAGCTTCTGTGTGGAGTCTTCCAGAATCTGAACAAGTGCATTATGAAACGTATTTGCTAAATACCAGCCGTTTCCTTCCCTCATGCGGACACAGAAGCTTTTCTTCAACCGTCATCCTGCAGGGTTTTGTTCCACAGCAATACCTTCAGCAAAGACTGACAAACACATGCTTGATTTCTTCTGGCGTTTAATTTCTCCCTGTAGGAAATCGGAGGCCATCCCGAGGGTGTGTTTCTTTCTAGTTAAGCACGTCCCACATGCACCTGCATGCCTTTTACTCCTGTTCCAACAACGACACGGACAGAAGCAAAGCGGCCGGTGTGGTTGGGGACCAGGGGCCTCACGAGCAGCACCCTGGCCCCAGGTTTCTGGTCATTGCAGGCCTTGCGTTTCTGCATCTGCAGGAAACAGTGGGAGAGGAACCTGTTTTCAGGGACAATTTGGTGTGAGATACACGGGCCCTCAATTGTGTTTTTCAGCCCTGAAATCACTGTTGAAAACCTGCATCAGCACGGGAAACACGCTGGCACTTAGCGCACAGCCCAGACGTGGGGTCCAGGGGCTGCTTCCAGCCACTGTTCCATCTTCCAGCTGTTCTAGAGCCTTGGTCAGAAGCAGCTCACTTGACAGAACGTGAAAGCCAAAGCGTCTCTGTTTCCTTCACGCTCTAGATTCAGGGGCGGTGACAGAGCCTGCTCTGCAGGGCTCCTCAGGGGTGCAAGGTGTGTGCTCGGGAGCAAGGAGACTCCTTCACTGCCCTCATGTGGTACCAGAGGAATTTGATGTTAAAATCATAGAACTGGGGATTTTGTGCTTCCACTTCTGCAAAAAAATGAGTTGCTCAGGTGAAAGAGCAACCCAAAAATCAGCCCCACGTCCACAGGAGCTGCTCGCCCCGTAGGACTCACGTGTCCTGCCAGTGAAGTCTGACACGAGCGCGGCCCTCAGCCCGGGGCCGGACACGTGGCGAGGCCGCGGGCGTGGGAGCTGGTACCGTGACTTGGGGGCGCGTGTTACTGGTTTGCCCTGAATTCCGCTTCCTTTTCTTTCCTACCCTGTAGGTCAAACTGTGCTGAAAATATCCGCAAACACATCCTGCACACGGGCAAGCACGAGGGGGTCAAGATGTACAACTGCCCCAGGTGCGACCACGGGACCAACGTGCCCGCGGAGTTCCGGAACCACCTGAAGGAGCAGCACCCTGACGTGGACAACCCCGACCTGGCCTACCTACACGCGGGTGAGCGCTGAAATGGCCCCGTGAGCGCCGTGGCTTTCGTGTCACTCGGCACGGTAGGGATTGAGCCGGCTGTCCACTTGCCAGCATTTGTTTAAACGTAGCAGCCGGCGTGACCGTGTCTTCACGACTTACAAGGCTTGTAAGAAGCACACTCGCGCATACCCCACTCCCCGCGAGACCGGGTCTGTTCACGTCAAGGGCAGACATGGCACATAGTCAGCCCAGGACAACAGAGTTAGTGACAGCAGGTGCTCGAAACGCGGTCGATCTGAAGCAGCAGTAGTAGCTTCATATTTTGGCTAATTGATAAGATTTTAAATTTTTTTGAAAAATGTTCATGATTTAAAGGGTAAGGCCCTATCCCCTGTACCACCATCATCTGGTGAAGCCTGAGGAGGGCGCAGGGCGACCCAGATGGGGTGACATGGTGCCACGCAGGTCCCAGGAACCAGGAGGGACCGTCACCTGGGCTTTAGGGAGTCTTGGTGGTGGCAGAGGCCTCTCAGATCACTGTCGCCTTGGGTTGGACATCAGGTGCTCTGGAAGGACCAGAGATGCAGCAACAGCCGCAGAGCTGGGTTCACCGATTCCTGCGGCCCAGCCTGGTGCTCAGTGCACAGGTGAGGCCCTGGTGTTGTCTCACGGGTGGCACAGCCGGGCGACGGGAGTCTCAGGGTGGGGCCTCTCTGAGGAAGTATCACCCGCAGGAAATTTAGAGGAGTTCTGAAGTGTAGCCCAGACAGAGCTGTATTCAAATAATGCCGGTTGATCTAGGGGCTGTTTAAGCAGGTGCTTTGGGATCAGTTGGAGCTGCATTTAAACTCTGCTTTTCCCTTTATTGGCTGCATGACCTCGGGGAGGCTAAGTCCATGAAATAACC